AATCCTCCCCTCCTCCCTAGTTCAATTTAAAGATTTCCAAGAAGAAATCCTTAAACACAAAACCATCACATATAATAATTCAATGATGCCGACGGACCAGGTTCAATTCCAAGCGTTATACTACAGTATGAAGTATAGTTCAAACTTTTTTTAATTTCTAAGTTAAATTGTTGACCGAGTACTGGCTGCTGACATTTGGATTAAGAAAAAATATAGATTTTCTCAATTTGGATTTAAACCTGAAAAGACACATCATGTTCACAATTAACTATAATAGTGGACTATTTTAATGCATTAGGCTCTATGAGAAACGAATCAAAAGCTCTGATCTTGCTTTGAACCGCCTGAGTACAGCTCGCTACATTACAGTGCGCATTACCACTATAAGGACAATATACGTTTTTTTTAAAAAAAGAAACAAATGTCAAAATGTTTCCACGACAACCATTTGTGATACTGTAGTTGCTTAGTTACACGATCCCATATTAATAACTATCAATTGATGTTAAATCACTACAACATTTATCTTTTTACAATAACTTTGTACAATAACTATTCTTAGAAAAGGATAAAACGTTATAACTTTTTATGAAGTACAGAATATAAGCTTAATAATGTTAGTACAAGCATGTTAAAACCAGAACCCACTGTAAGTTACCAAGTTAAAGACTTTGATCTGTAAAATATTTATGAATAATTAAATTATTTATGATGAATTTGGAAGGTTGTGTACTTTTGTGTTCTTTTGTGTCCAGCTGAGCAATCTTGCTTTTATGAAATATACCGACTTTTTAATGTTTAATGATTAACAAAATTATTTAAAGTCTATAGAGTATACAACTTAAATTCTTAATTGGAAAAAGATTGTCCCTCAGCAGTGACTGGGTTTTGAAACTCGGTGTTTTCTGGCGGCAGCTCAAATGAGACGTTTAGCTTAATTAGCTTCACCTGGCGGTTTTACAAGGTGCTTCTGGATACTAATATCCTATTTAAAAAACATGCAGTATGATGCGATATAATGCGCTACGTCCACTGCATTTTAACTGAGCGTACCTCACTCATTTTGAATGGCTGGATCTGTATGAGATAGACCTTAACATGTTATAGTCAATGTATGTTAGCTCTGAAGTTATTAACTCTGATCTTTGTAGTCCTTTAATAGTCAAGATTTAAACTGTTGTCTAACAAGTCAAGCGAGAAAGTGAGTCCTTTTATTAGTCACAATTCACTTAATAAAAGAAGTCTGAAATTAAATTAAAAATTTTTAGATAAATATTCAAAATATTGTTGATCTGGACATAAAATAATCTGGGGAAAAAATGGTTTGATGCTTGAATTCAAGCACTTTATTTAGTCACACTTAATTTTTATTTTTAATTTAACTATAAATATTATAATAAAACTATTATCACATCCCCAGCTAAAACAGATGAATAACAATAAATGCTGTCAGATGCTGATGTCTAACGTTTTGAGCTCAACTAGAGCTATTAGCATATCATGTCAAAACTACTATTTTTTTGCCTCATATTTTCCTTCATTCCTTCGCTTTCTCCTGCAAGCGATGACTCTCTCCCAGCTTCTCCTACACAGTCAATGCCAAATGATGCCACGCTTTCCAGACATGCACTAGCTTGACTTTAGCTCCTGCAATCCCTGTTAAAAAATCCCTTCCAACTCCTTCACAAAGCCATAATTTGGGCATTTCCTCTTCCTCTGTGAAACTGCAGAACTGCCAAAGAAAGGAGATATGCATATATACTGTATATTTAGGATATATATATATAATGGACTTTGGAGATATGTAATGCTTTGAAAATGTTCTTATACCCTTCCTGTGATTGGTGCTTTTCAACAACCCTATCCCAGATTTACTTTGAAAGTTTGTGTTCGTGATGTATTTGTACTAATCAGCTGTGGGATCTTCCAGTTATTTATACTTATCCTGAGCTCATGTGAAACACTATTTGTGGTCTCCAGTCAAAAAATTGACTTCTAAAGATATTTGGTTGCACTAGACCCTATTTAGGTGTGTCTAAGTAAAGGGCATGAATACTTATACAATCAGTCACTTATAATCTGTTTTATATTTACAATTAATGAAGGAAGATCTGTGGAATTTTGTTTTCACTTTGACATTATAGATTGTTTTATATTGATCAATTGCAAAAAAAAAAACAAATAAATACACTGTAATTCTATATTTGAACACAGTTAAATGTGAAAATGTCAAATGAGGGTGAAAATTTGCAATAGCCACTGTAAGGCTCTATTAGTGTGTGTTGTACAGTTTAACATAAGATTGACTTAAATTCTACTTCTTAAGTATCTATTTGTGGCAGATCCTTTGTGTCTGCACTAAAGAACAGGGTTTCATGTGACAGATGGTACATTTTGAAGGCAAGATCCATAAAGCTGGAAGATCAACACAAAAGAAATAAGGTGCATTGTCTTGCCTGGCAGTCTTGTATTGGACATACAAGATGAAGAAGTAGCACTTTACAATCTGTAGGAAGACCCTAGAGAAAGACAACAGCCTGGGATAGCTTTACCAGCAGCTCTCACATCCAACCCAGGCTGCAGTCATTTATATTTTGTTGAGGACTTTGGAAATAATGGAAATCCTCCCGGAAGATGAAAATCTACAAACAGTGTTAACACTCCATCCAATTATGTCTACTCTCTGTGCCTGGATGTCTAGCAGAGAGCCATAGGTACAACTGGATGATGGTCTTATACTCACAGATCACAGCCAATCATCAAAAAGACAAATAGTCAACTTAGGGACGTAGAGAGCATGAAAATCCACTCTACCCTGTGAGATCATGATCAATCACCAACCGTATTTTCCTCAGAGAGAAAGCATGGTGTATTTCTTTTAACTCACTCACCTCACGCTTGACCAAAACCAGGCTGATGGACAATAATGCCAGCACTGTTTCCTAAGAATTGAAGCGTGAAGCACCAGTTTAGGGCACAGTTTATAACAACAGAATTCTGCCCAAGGTCTAGCCTACAGCAAGATCTTTCTCCCTAATGTGCCAAGATTGGATTGGCATCATGCCCAGCAGAGCACAGACTGGGCATCGCTTCAACGAGCAACTGTCTCCTCTTGCACAGGAATTACTACTCCACAGTTGCTGGATGTGAATAATTCAGTGCTCACACACATTTTTTATTCCTATTTAATAAATCTAACAGTTGAATGTTGAATCTGAATGTTGAGTATATATGCACGACAGATTGACAACTGATTAATGTTATACTAAATGGGTATAAACAGATTGTTTTAAGATTTTACTTTGATATTTGATATTACTTTAATATTGATATATTTGCCACCATTTCTCTGCAAACTCTTGCTTAACTACTGGAGTTTTTAATGAAAGTCTAGGAGAGGTGTTGACAGCCAGGTTCAATCATTAATTCGCAATCACCAAAGACATAATTTCCTCTCTTGAAACACTTATAATGTCACGCAATCCCTTTTCCTACCTCTATGGCTCTTTTTGTAATAGACCATGCTACTGTATGGCCCTGCTTGTCATTATCAAAGTCAGGCAGCCCACGAGTCTATCAATATTATAAATTTATTCAGTAGAGGCCTGTGCCAATACTGCTTTTGCAATAACTGTAAGAACATTACTGCATGAGTTGCTTTAAAAGTATTAAAACCGAGTGGAAAAGTTACATTCTTTAACTCACTGTTATAGTATTATTCAGTACTAGTCTTTACAATGCCAACTGAAAAACTACCACAGTCGAAGTACTAATGTCATGCTGATCAAAAATCTCATTTTTGACAGAGCGCTTTTATAAAGCTGAAATGCATGTTCAAACAACTCTCATGTTTGAAAGAGTAACTTACTTCTCACACGTTAATCTCTAGCCAAGACAATTAGTGATTTTCCAATATACAAAATCTTTCATAGTTTTCTACTTAATTTGTTGGGTAGCTACAATGTAAAAAATGGTTGTCTTCAGCCAGTCAAGAAGTTCCTGGGTGCCGTGATTCATATGTCACTTCACTTTTGTTTAATTTAACTCATAATGTAGCTGTATTCCGTTTGTTTTTCTTAAGAGGTTATTAACAATAACTTTTCTTGGTTGCTTGCCTTATATGAAGTGCAGCCAGATCTTTTTCTTCAGCAGAAAACATGAAGAACCTCAAGCATTTCTTGCTTCTTCTTTCCCAAGCGAGGTGCTCTAGTTGAAATATTTAACCTCATTAGTACAGCATCTACATCTCAACATTTATCTGGGTACCAGTCAATTAAGAAACAATAAGAATTAATTAACATGAAGTGTTGAAAAGAAATGAGGAACAGTAAAACAAAAGAGGAGAGCGTTGAACCCTGGTAACACTAAAGCACAGCAGTAGCCTTGAGGCACCCCTGCAGCCCTGAGATTAGACCCATTAACCAGTTTGTTAGAAGAATAAATGTAGAAAACTTGCGAGGAAAATAATTTCCGTTTTAGTAATTTGTTTCATATTAATTCATTTCAAAACAAACATGTAAAGCAGTTTAGACTTCCTCTTATCATCATTGCAGATTACTTTTGTCCGCACTATCATATTTTCTATTGCACATTTTGAGGCTAGCTACCGTAAACTTGCACCAGAGATCACCCGATGAATCCGCCAAAATAAATTTGAACTGCGAACCCATTGAATCTAACCAATTATTGGTTCACAAATTATTCAATGTTTTTATCGGTTTTATGGACCAATGGGGACCCACAGGTCCGTTTAAAAAATACCCCTGCTCAAGCCAGGGCCCCTAAGCTAGCCTGTTCGTTAATCTGCCCCTGTCGAAAAGACCCCGCTTTTCGCAGTGAAACGGCTACTTTTGAGCATAAAAACGTGTATTTTCAGCTAATTTTTTGTTTTGCTTTCACTTCTCATTTTAGCGTAACTGAGCTCATGTGATCGGGGGCAGGAGCACAATTTTAGCTTAGCCGCTCTGATGTTTACAGATCTCCACTCGCTCCTCTCTTACTGTAGATCGATATCACACCGCCACAGCGCCTTGATACTCCATCGAAAAACTCCGTCGCCTGGTTTCGAAGTGCTCGTCACTGCCGGACCTGTGGCGATTCAAGAGAACAGGGTCGTCAGTCTGAATCAGGTTAATGCCTTCGCCAGCTGTATTGTATTCAGCGCTTTGTATTGTGCGCCACTGTTAGAGGTTAGTACAGCTACTGCGCATCGAGTCAGAATTAGAGCAGTTCCCAGTGGCATTTGTCCTAGACTGTAAATTCAGAAGTATTTTAAGCGGGAATATCTAAAAATGCCATTAAAGCAATCTGCTTGTCATGATACCTGCTTGTCCGAGAGCTGTGCTGTGTCTGAAATTGAACCGCTCCTCCTCTGTGGTGCTGATCTGGGGATGTGGCAGAAGAGATGATCCCTCTCGAGTTTTTAGTCACACTTTTCTTTCACTTTCGAGTTTCATTATGAAGACAACAGGGTATAAATAGTCACACTTTTCTTTCACTTTCGAGTTTCATTATGAAGACAACAGGGTATAAATAACTGGATTTCTCACTTTCAGCTTTTCATCCCGATAAATTCTGGAGAAAAATAAACTTGGTTTAAAGCAAAACGCTGCCATGGTTGGTTGAAATTTCTCGTATAACCCTGTTTTTATTATTTAAAGGCTCCACTTAAATTAAGTGATTGCATTTATATATAAGCACAAAGTTACTTGTAATTGTATTTACTTCCTCTTTCGCGTAGATACATTGCATTGCTGTATAGTGTAACGCATACGGCCACCAATGAGTGTGTAAGAGCCGGTTTACCAGAGCGGTGACATCACCGCCCTTCCCTGTAATAGCAGGGCCACGGCCGCCGGGCTGAAGGAAGATCTCTGTTTAGCTGACCAGGCTGGGTCCCTGTTGAGTGACGCCGGAAGTGTGCTCTCACGAGGCACCAGTTCTGTAGGGTTTGGACATTTACTGGGACAATTATTAATTGTAGCAGTAAATCACATAATTGATTCTTTAATGGCCTTAGAATCCAACCATGCGATATAACTCAAACAACGCACACACACACAGGTACTAATACACGAGGATACATTTATTAATACATAGAATATGCATATAAACCAAACAGATCTTATCGAGAGGGTTATCAGAATACAAAAGGTATATATTCAGTCAGTTACGAAGAGTTACATTTATCAAGAGGACATTCATTCAGTATATCATTCATTTAGACCGTTTTGTAAATG